TTTCACCATGTTGACCAGGATGGTCTCGATCTCTTGACCTTGTGATCCACCCGCCTCGGCCTCCCAAAGTGCTGGGATTACAGGCGTGAGCCACCGCGCCCGGCCTAATCTTTTTTTTAAGAACTCTTCGATTTAACAGATCTAGTTTTGTTTTTTTCTAATTTATTATTTCTGCCTATATCCTTACTAATTACATCATCATTTCTTAATTATTTTACAGTTCTTTTCTCACTTAAGTTGAATACTTATCTGATCTATTTCCATTTCTAATACCATAACTGTCTAAGTCAGTGCATTTTTCTTTTAGTAAAACTTTAAACATTATCTCAGTACAATGATTTCATCATCATCATTTTTAGATACACTGAAATCACAGGTTTGAATTAAATTAATCCAAGGTGTGATTAATATAAATTTCAAAATTTCAGGTAGTTTTTACTTAGGCTGCTAGTCTTCTCTTGGGAATTTACTGAAGCTTTCTTTTAAGTCCCATGGGCACTTGAAAAGATATTGTCTTCTGTGTTCATGGCATAGAGTTTAACATATTTTTCAAGCTATTTTTGCCTTAGCTTCACCTTTTTATACCTATCTGCCATGTGTAAAAAGGTGAGTTTTTAAAATTACCTTTCTGTTTCTTCTTGTAATTTTCTCTTTTTTGTTTTGCTTTGATGATTTGTTACTTGATATGGTAAGATTCAAACTGTTATGTTTTCATTGTGGCTTATATTCCTTATTATTGTTAAATGGCCCCTAATGCCTAACATAATGCTTTTGGTCTTATTTTCTGTTCCCATTTGCATGTTATGTTCTGCTCATCATTTTACTTTACATATTTTCGAGTAATTATTTAGACGGATTTCTTTTGTATATCACACATTTGGGACATGTTTTAAATCCAAACTAAGGGCATCTTTCTTTCAGCAGTTGAGCTTATTTCATTTATGTTTATTGAAAAATAAATGTGTTTTGGTCTTAAATTCATTACCATGGTTTATATTTTGATATAGTGTCTGTTTTCTTTGGTGTGTGTTTCATGCTTTCACTGTGATAACTGAAAAGTCTGTGTTTTTAGATCTTATAGTATTTATATTTATAATCTTAAGTGATATACTCAAACCTCTATTTCTTGATTTATCAAATTCAGGCAGATGTTCTCTCCACTAAGAAGTTGAGGAAATTAGTATTTCTATTTCCTATTTTTGTTTTTTCCACCTTCAATTTTTATTTATTAGTTTGAGAATTCTAATTCCACACTTGCTTAAGCCTCAGTTATTCCATTAAAAGTGATAGAGGGGTGTAATGGATTTGTCTTATGTCAATTTCACTTAGCTGGAACTGTGGTTCCCAGAATTTCTTCCCTACATAGTTATATATCTCCAAGGGATTCTGTTTCTCTGACAACTTTGACAGTGCCGGAGTTCACTAACCATCCTTTCATAACCCTTCTTCTCCATTCCTGGATACTTTTATCTGTTAGTTAATTCTTCATGTTTTCCCTTGATTTGATGCAAATTTCATTCTAATTTCAGCTGAGTTGACATTCTTTATAGTTTGTGATTTCATGTTGTGGACAAAACAAAGTTTTCCTCTGTTTTTAAATTTTTAAAGAAATAAATTATGTTGTTTTTAGTTGGTTTTATGGAAGAAACTGGAATGTAAATTATTTTACCCTTATACTTTTGAGGGGGCCTTATAAACTGAAGTTATTAACCAAAAGATAAGATATTGCTATTTGTGATATATTTTCCAAAAATCTAACCATAGAAAATCAAAACCAAAACCACAGATGAATATTAAAACAAAATTAAGTCTGTTACCTGCACAAAATATCCTTAGCTGCTGGACTGGCGATATAAGTTGCAAATGAGTGGTGAACAAATCAACAAATGCTCCAGGATAAATAATGAAGAGAAAAATCCCAAAGCCATTAAATCGAACTTGTTCCCTAAGAAACCACATAAGAGAAAGGAGTTTACTAATACTATTGTATTTGTCAAATTAATAGTGTACATAATCTTAAAACTTTTCACTGTAATTAGAATTCTTGCTTAAGAAACAAAAAGTCTCTCTGAACAGCCAAAAAAATTGTATCTATACTATACATAATCTTTTTTTGAGACGGAGTCTCACTCTGTCACCAGGCTGGATTGCAGTTGCGTGATCTCGACTCAATGCAACCTCCGACTCCCTGGTTCAAGGGATTCTCCTGCCTCAGCCACCCAAGTAGCTGGGATTACAGGCATGCGCCGCCCAGCTAATTTTTGTATTTTTAGTAGAGATGGGGTTTCACTACATTGTCCAGGATGGTCTCAATCTCCTGACCTCATGGTCCGCTGGCCTCAGCCTCCCAAAGTGCTGGGATTATAAGGCGTGAGCCACCGCACCTGGCCTATAAGCTTAATTTTATAATAATGTACAGATTTGGTTATCTGTGAAATTGAATTTTGTAAAATAGGGCATACTGAAATAGACTTCAAAATTTTTAGAAACCAATGCGTTGAGCAAATAATTGAAATCAGTCACATATATACAGAAATGGCTTTTATGAGAAACTAAATGAAAAACATTTTTATGGTTTACTCTGAACTATTTTCAGGAGACTATATAATTCAAGTAAAAACACAGGAGATTATATAATTCAAGTAAATTACCTAGTAACTTATATTTGTCTTAGCAATTATAAATAATGGTGAAGATTTATCTAAGTGTATTCCTATTGAGCTAATGTTAAATAAGTGTGTTTAAACATGCATAATGCTCAGATTGTCCTTAAGAGAACCAGTTTTTTCAGGTTTTGATCTCCATATTAAAAAAAAAAAGAGAGAGAACCATTTTTTATCACTTACTTTTCCAAAAGTTAATATTACATTTAAGTCTCATAAAACTAAACAGCCCCCCTAGAAAAAAGCATCACTTAAATATATGCTGTTGCTTAATACTAAATATGTAAGACAACTGTACAGTTCATTTTTCTCTTGGCAGTTGGCATTTAAAAAAATTACCCAAGTTATTTTACAAATATACTGTAAATTATTAAGCTGTAATTAACGATGTGTCCACAGGTAAAATCCTAAAGGCTGCAAAGCTAAAAACATGAAAGCAAAAGTGAAGGAGGTTTAAAAAGAAAAAAAAACCCAGAAGCTGCCACTTTAAACCACTATTGTGCACACCTGTGTAACAGTATATGCTCTGACAAGATGAGAATTTAATGTCAATAGACTCTTGTTCATAAGCAACTGGAA